AATACAAAAACCACGAAAAAAATGTCCCAAGTCAACCTATTTGAAATTTAAATTGTAATGTCATCGCAGTATCGCGCTGTCAGTAGAACAAATGAAGACTAAAGCGAAGTGTCGCGCTCTATATACGATTTTAGCGCCTTACAAGTGCGGACACTTTTTAGCGCGGACCCGACGTCCATATAATTGTAAGTCAATGACCGTAATAATAAATATTAATAAGTAATGCAGTATTTTCACAAAAAAGTTACAAATATTATGATAGTAAAAATTTCATGATATTCAATTAAATATTTTTTTTTGTAATGTAAATTTTTGTCTGAATAAGCCTTTTTATTTTCTCGCGTCAATAAAATTTTACCATGTGTAATTTTACCGATGTACCATTCCTGTATTTAAATCTGGCGCACTCTGGGTAACAATCGGCGAGAACTTAATGCCGGTTGGCGAATCCATTCGCCACGATGCACTATGGAAAATCGAGGTCTGTTTCAGATCAAAAATCAATAACTTTCTTATTTGTTAAGATAGACTATTGAATTTTTGCACAAGCATAGAGTATTAAATACTGCTTTAGTTAAAGTTCAGATGCTATACTTTTATAAGAGTATGTTTATTTTTGTGAAAAAATATATCTCAGAAATAGATATTATTTGATTTCCTTAAGGACAACGCTACTTATATTATCAATAAAAATGTATTATTACATTAGTTTTTTAAAAACAATCATGTTTAAGCTCTTATCTATTTAATTAAGAAATTAAAAGTTATAAGATTACAAACACGTATAGTAAAAAAAGTTACAAAATACTAATTTAAAAGTAAAATAATGTTAGAAATGTATGTATGTCAATGTGTATATTATGTTTTATTATAGGTACTTGTTGAACTTCGGGATCCAAAATAAGTTCATTCACTTTTAAAAGATCCACGGTATCTTCATCAAGTGCCTTCACACTTTTGCTATATGTTTTTCTAAGACTGGAAATGTACGGATCTGATGTGTAGAGAAGAGTTTGAAATACATCCTCATTTGTAGCTGATCGAGAGCACTTCCTGGCATGATGTAGGCGAAATTTTTTATAATCCTTATTACGGGATTCTTGTGCATCTTCGGAAAGTTGACCAATAGGAATTACACCAAAATGCCTTATGACACTTTCACCATGAATCAAAATTTTGTGTACTGAACATGGCATGTAGTACCATTCACAATTACTTACATAAATCCTGGCGGTTTCCATGGCATATTTGCCAAATTTTTCTTTTGCCGTGGAGTAGCTCCACAGATTGTACACTTGGATCCAGATGGTATATCTGTTAATAATTGAGCTACGTTGCCATCTATCATAGTCAGAAAGAGTTCGTGCTTCACATTCACTCCTTCACCTTCGTTATTAATTAATGATGGCCGCAAGGAAATTATTTGGTTCTTTATTTCATCAACAACAGCTTTAGTTTTTTCAGGAAGTTTCTTTACAAAATTCTATCGATGTGGGCCGACAAAAACGGACTGACGAAGGCACTGGATTTTGCCAGACAATGTCGCCAGTAAGCTCATTGACTAATTTAATAGGCACTAACGACGTAATAAACAAATTTGCATCAGAAACAAGTTCAGACTCCTCTGCAAGTTTTTGTTTGTACTGACTTTGACCAGATGAACCATCACATCCCCATTTACTGTATAAAACTAAATGACACAATCCATTCTTATACACCGAATCTATGGCCAAAATCCTAGCTACAGTGTGGTCCAATAAATCTTGAAGGTTTAGTACTTTTGCATGTGTATTTGTAATTTCTATTGCTGTAGATGGTGGATAACATGTCTGTTTGATTTCTTGTATTTTATAAAATGGTGGGAATAGAACACAGTCTCGTTCGTTTGTTAAATTCCTTAAGTATATATATATTGTGCTTTCGTTAAATCTAAGTCAATGAAAACACTCAATGCTTCTTGATCCATTAGCATTTTGCTCTCGCTTGCGTTTTCTATGACATTCAAATATACAGACTTTCTAACATCACGGTCAGCAAGCCTTAGTTTTTCCACGAGTTTTGCTTCTATTTCTTCTCCTATTGAACGTAAGCCCTGAACATAGGCATTGCAAATGTGTTCAAAGCCATATTCACTAAATAGCGCGGTATTTTTTCGTTTTTTGGTTGATTCTGATGAGTCTCCATAAGAGACACAGGGTCTTCCGCGTTTCCCAGAAGAAGTAGATGGCGTGATGTTAGGTGTTACTTCTTCAATGCTCCGTAAGGTTGCCAAATATTCAGAATCCAACCAATTTTCGTTCTTTTTTAGAAACGAATCCTTTTTCCTGGACGCTTCTGCCCATCATTTGTTAAAGGAAGGAATGAGATTCCTTTGAACATCACTGATAATAAAACACATGTTGTCTTCAGAATGAATGAAAGAGTGTTGTTTTCTTTTAAAACTGTTGATAGGGTTTCAAGTTTTTTTCCTCCTTCAATGTATGAGAGTAATAAATTCACGCTTGGAACACTTGAAAGAATATTACATTTTGAAATTCAGTTATGATACGTAACAATCAAACGTCTGTTTAGTTTTATTATCAATTTGTAATAGCTTTATTAAATTAATTCACTCTTCTTATATAATTTCATAAATGAGGGTAGTGTGCATTTTGCTGATTAAAGTAGTACTACAAAATAAGTGCAAAATGTAGACAAAACGCCCTGTTATCAATAAATACCTATAATTTATTGAAATATACCGCAAACTAATCAATTCAATAGTACAACATAAGAAACCACAATAGATAGCGGTTTTCCGTTTCTTGACTTATATCGGAGTTTTCGCGATAACTTCTAAAACCGCACGTATCCGCAGCTGATTTTTATCTTATTTATGAATATCTGAGCTATAAAACAACACCAAATGTAAAGCACCGGGAGACATCGGTAACTGTCAAAAGTCTCGATGAATTTCAAATACGTACCTTTCTTTCCCTCACTTTTTGTATTTTTTTTATAGAAAAATAATCAAACAATCCACAACATTATAATTGCTTTAAAATCTATATTACTATGGGCTTTTTAGAAATGCATAACACTTTATATATATTCGCACAAGTTTTTGAAAGAAATGAAATTTAAAGTATTGAAGCGAACAGACCTGAAATACACATTCTTACGAATTACAATTTCTCACATTAAAAAAATATGTATTCCAAATGCAATTCACGCAAAATTACTACATTATATTAAAGTACCACTCTAATACAATTTAAAAAAAAATTAAAGTGCGTCAATAACGACTTAAGTAAAAGCGATTTTTGATATGCCGTTGTTCTATCATTTTCCTTAGTGCGATGGCGTACTATCAATACTATGGTGACTATAAATGTTCAAATTGCTAATTGTTTTGTGCGTCGTTACTTTAGACCAGCGTTTCCGCGTTTCCCATTTGATGGGTCGCGACCCGGTACTAGGCCATCAAAATAAAATACCGGGTCGTAGCATTTCCGCCTTGTTGAAGTGCAACCAGATCTCACGATAAAACTTTCGTCATTTTCCGCGAACTTGGATTCTTTACTAAAAAATAAGCAGCAGCTCCATACTTCGCACTAAATAGGCGATACCGAAATAATATTAGTAAAACATTTTTACTAGCAACAAATGTGTTTTATTTTACTTAATGTAACCCGCTTGGGTTTAAAAGTATTGAGTGGGTCACGAAGAAGCTGTATCAAAATTACCGGGCCATACCAGAACAATGTTTGGGAAACACTGATTTAGACCCTGACTCCCCTGCAAGAAAGTAGCGAGCCTCTCATGCCCATAATAATTAATTCTCGAATCACAATTACTTATTTCTTAATTATACTTAATTGGGTTTTTTAGGAAATCTAATTTCAATCTTCCTATAACCAGTGATTAAAGATTTTAAATGCCTTTTGTGTTTAATGAAGCAAAAGGTAATTGAAAGGCAAATTTTATCACGTTTTTATTAACAATAAAGTGTATTCGAGTATTGTATTTCCGATATTATCGCCTTGACGTATTCTGATTCATTGAGCAATAGACAAAGTTGGAAGACTTTATAAACAGATTATGCTGTAATATTTGAAAATCTTAGGTACTTTTCCACATTTATCATTATTTTTTAACTGACTTTAAAAGAAGGAGGAGGTTCCCAATTTGACTTTATTTATTTGTGTGTATGCTACGCAATTACTCCAACATTTTGTGGACCGATTTCGATTATTCTTTTGTTGTTGGAAAAGGGCTCGGTCTAGTGTTTATTTCCGTGGCAATTTTTATAATTAAGTGTTCGACTTTTTTACTGTGCAATATTTTAACTATTACACGATAATATACCTGAATCGAACATATATATGAATATAGACTCATTCTAAAATTTCGCGTCTAGAACCGTCTAATTCACGACTTTTTCTGGGTGCAATCAGATCTAAACTATAGGGAATGTGATTCTCGAAATTCAAAAATGATGCCGCCAGAATAAGCTTATTCATATTCATATGCATATTCCAAAGGGCATAACGACTAAATCTAGTTTTTTACGACTAGGACCGACTAAATCACGACTATTTTTTGTGTAATCAGATCTAAGCTAGGTGTTGTGGTTCTCTAGATTGGGAAATGATGCAGCTGGAATAAGCTTATTCAATGGACAGTAAAACACCCTTATGACTTTTAAACGGCGGACCGACTATATCTAGTTTTTTGCAACTAGAACCGACTAAATAGCGACTTTTGTTTGGGTAGTCAAATTTCAAAAACTCATGGTCACGCTGGAATAAGGTACGCAATGTGTAGTAATTGCTCAAAGCACACTTTTTCTTAATTTCTTATGAAGCAAGGTTATAATAACCCTTTTGTATTCTGTTGCGAAATAAACAAATATTATTATTATCATTTATTCTACAAAATGATGATTATCATTTTTTTTACTTGTGAAAGTTAATCTCGAAGTATTTGATTGTGTATTTGTATATTATTGTTACCAGAAAAGTCCTGGTGCAGAGCGAGATGCTAGTGATCAAGGATCGAGAGCTGAAAGAGACCAAGAACTTATACAGCGCCGTTAAAGATATGTTGGCTCTACAACCTAGCCCAGATATACAGGTAACTGACACATTTGCGATCATTTAGTTTAGGATTCCACGTATCAATACTGCTAGCTAAAACCCGGCTAAGTGACAAAATAATTTTTTTAAATATCATAAAAACCCATAACCCGGTTTTAGAATATTGGAATTATTTAATGATGTTTCAGCTATGCATGGTTAGAGTAAGTTCCCATAAATCGCACACGTTAACTAATTTTAACTGTTTTTTTTAAAAGATAAGTTTGTGCTCTGTCTTTTGCTATTTAAAACGGATATTTGACCATTTCTCATTTAGCCGCGTTTTAGTTAGTGGACGGAAGAATATGTATTGGTACCTCGTCCGTCCGTATAAGTATACTATACCAAATATGTTTAGTAAAGACGTAGTGCTGCAGCGTAAGGATAATTATGGTAAAACCCTCACAAAGTCATGCCCGGTAGTAATCATTATAAACATTAAGTTACTTAAAAATAGGATTGATAATAATTTGTCAACCATTAGTAGTCCTTATTACTAGTCCTCATTACTACCAGAAGTAGCGTTTTGGGCACTGTATAGGTGGCGCTAGTGTAAAATTGAGTTTTAGTTTCGGTGTCTTTAGTATTTTGTAGAAAAAGATCTTTAATTTCACAACATGGCGAGCAAACAAAATTATTAAATAATATTAGATGTTGTCGTTATATACCAATAGTGGGAAACAGGTATATCAAAATCTTGGTACTCATTTTCGAACGTTTTCAGAATTAAATTGTTCCCCTTATTGAATGTTAATCGGATCAGGGGGTCGATTCAGAACTTTACGATAACTCAGTTGTCGACCGACTTCTTTTCATTCACAATACCCGAATAGAACGTCAAACTGTAGAATTCGAAACTGAACCGAAATGACGTCACACCCGTACAATTACTCGTACTTACTCGACCGGCAACGGATACAAACGTTATTCAGAACACAGTTATCGAATGAAAGTTAACCGAATGTCCTATTGTTTACAAAGCAAGAATGTAATATGGAAATCTTATATTATTTAAATAAAATCTGGATTTTGTTCAATTTTATTAAATTACTTTAATGCGACCCTAACGCATTCCTATATTTTAGGTCTTTAAAGTCTTAAAAACGTATATAATAGGATTTCATTTATCTTATAATCTATACTCGCCGATTAACTCTACATAGGGCGCACTATAAGTTTCCGGAGCTGGCCACTTACGTAAATAATATTTAAAAAGTAATTACAATATTTGAAAATGGAACTCTATGCTTGTAGAATACAGTTTGTTTCATCTGACTGTCACTTGCTTTTACAGTGTGGCGTCATTTTAGAAATTGGTTGTCTACATCACCGTGGATTTAACTCGTAAAAATTTTCGTAGCATGATTTTCTACGACTTTAAGTGCTCTTAATTTATTTAAACACAGCTCAGCGGAGCTTCGCTGGGCTTCAAACTGCTTTTGGCGATGAAGCACCATGCAATATGACTATTGATCGCTGGTTTGCAGAATTCAAACGCGCTCGTGTGAATCACAATGACGAATTTCGTGATGGTCGCCCGTCCACTGCTGTGAACAACAAAAATATCGATGCTGTGCGCCGTTTGATCAAAATAGACAGGCATGTGACATACCATGAGATTCGGGCACCTTTAGGCATAGGTATGAGTCAAATACAATCAATACTGCACAAATATTTGGGTGTGAAAAAGCTATGCTCTCGGTGGATCCCACATAATTTGACTGAGGCTCAAAAGACGGATCGCATCACTTGGTGCAATGCCATGCTTACCAGATTTAACGAAGGGGCGCCAAATTTGGTGTGAGACATAGTACAAACAGGTGATGAAACATGGATTTATAGTTACAATCCCAAAGCAAGGCAGCAATCGAGCGTATATGGGTCGTGAGCCGAAACAAACCAAAGTGGCGCGCGTGGAAAGTGCCTTTAAGCGAATGATTGCTTCTTTTTTAAATAAAACTGGACACGTGGCTACTGTTGCTTTGGAGAATCGTTGTACCGTGAATAGTGATTGGTACACGACCATTTGTTTGCAAGAAGTCATTGACAAACTCCGTAAAAATAACCGTAAACGCCGTATCATCTTGGACCACGATAATGCCAGTTCTCACACGGCCAGACAGACAAATGAATTTTTGAAGGTGAACAACGTTGACCTTATGAGCCATCCCGCGTACAATCCCGACCTGACACCTTGTGACTTTTATTTATTTCCAAAAATTGAGAACCAGTTACGCGGTCAACGATTTTCATCACCTGCAGAGGCTGTTGAAGTGTACGAAAAATATGTTTCAGAGATTGTCACGGAGGAGTGGCATAAATGTTTTCAAAATTGGTTCATTCGTATGAAAAAGTGCATTAACGTTAACGGAGAATATTTTGAGAAGCAATAAATTCATTTCTGACCATTTAAAGTATTTTTTTCTTATTCACTCCGGAAACTTATAGTGCGCCTCACGTTTAAGCGTTGTTGGATAACGATATTGTATCCGAATCCGAATCGAACGTTAAACTCGAAAGTTCTGAATAGTTCGGAGAGAACCGTTCGATTCGAGAACGATATCCAATTGAACGATTCGGTTAAGATATCGGAGAGTTCTGAATCGGGGTCCAGGGGGTCGATTCAGAACCTTACGATACCCGAATAGAACGTCAAACTGTCGTGTCGAAACCGAACCGAAATGACACCACACCCGTACGATTACTCGAGCTTCTCGACCGGCAAAGGCTACAAACGTTATTCAGAACACAGTAATCGAATGAAAGTTACCGAACGTCCTATAGCTTACAAAGCAAGAATGTAATAAGGAAATCTCTTATTATTTTAAATCAAGTCTGGATTTTGTTCAATTTCATTAATTTATTTTAATGCAAGACTAAGGCATTCTTATATTTTAGGCATTTACATAAAAATGTATATATCAGGATTTTCACATCTATTTCACCAACTAACTATGTAAACGCTGTTGGATAATGATATCATATCCGAATCGAACGTTTAACTCGGAACGTTCTGAATAGGTCGGAAAGCGCCATTCGATTCGAGAACGATATCCAATCGAACGATTCGGTTAAAATACCGAAGAGTTCTGAATCGAGGTCGTGGCCTTTGAAGAATGGAGGGTGGTTAAAACGTTAATCTGCAATTTCTGCAAGTTGAACTTGGTTTATTCGGCAATATGCGTTCTGACGTTGTCCTGTAGACATAGCAGTGTAGTTTTTATTTTACCTATTTAACGCAAATGGGCCAGTATTACATAATGTGACCATAAGTCCTGCTTTCAGCGGGACAGTGCCGGTTTCATGTTTTATGTCCCGCTGTCCCCAAAATAGAGTTCCATTTATATTAGGAACTAAACCTGGCATATTTGCTTATCCGAAAAAAATTAGTTCATTTCATTTTTGATCATTAAATATTTTTGATTTTTTCATCATCATTTTATCATCATCATTTTATTTTTAAAACAATAATAAATTTACAGTCGTCACGGTCTGAGGGTGAAAAATAATTGTGACTTTAGTATTGCAGGTATAATTTTTTTTTTTGTTATATACATGACAGGCAAATGACTCCACTCCACCTCAATTCCATCAAACCATGCTGCTAGCTCTCCTTGCATAGTTTGCATTGGTTCGGCTTGAATAAAAGCTCGCAAATCTTCATTATTTACCGTAAGCCTGCTCTGGCCATGAGGCTCATTAGTTAATATAAAATTTGTTCGGCGGATTCGGGTAAACCAAACGCGCAGTGCACGGTACACGTCGTTAATATATAGAGTCGTTTGCGCTGCATTACTGCAATATCGGAACTAATATTCAAACATTTCAGGAATTTTAACAGCGACTGATGAATAACGACATTTTTTTAAGGATTTCATTAAAAAAAAATTATAATCGTAGCATTTACGCTTTACTTTATTTCATTTGAAAGTGGTCAGAACTATCTCATACTTGAACGCCTAATACTTATTGTACTTTTTTGTTTTCAGCAAACATTGACTTCAACACAACGTGCTTTAGCTCAGAGAACTACTAAAATGAAGTGCCTAATAGCTGGTAAGGGAATTTTATTATGTCGTCTCCTTTTATTGGTGCATGACGAAAATAAGTACCTAATATATCGATGGCTTTCTAGAATAGTATACTATTTCAAAAGCATCGAATTAATTGGGAAGATGGCTTAAAAAAACGACGAATCGTAAACCATCTATATGTTGTCATGTGATTATTTTAACCACAAATATAATGTCTGTGATTTTAAGTAGGTAATGAAAAGCTTGGAATCTCAATCCCAATAAAATAAAAAAGCATATTCTGAATAAATAAAAAAGGGTCAATTTTGGCTTGGGCCATCATTTTTGAAAAGCAGCGAATATGAGGCGCTTTCAGCCCCGAAGCTCTTATTGTCATTTTTAGAACAATTTAATTGCAATTTTATTTACATTGATTTTTTTTATAATATCAAGTGACGACGGGACGAACAAGTCGTGCGCCTGACGGTAAGCTACACACCTGTCCATAACTCTTGCAGTGCCACTCTGAGCTTTAAATGGCAAAGATCTGAGGGGCACTGTTACTGCGCCCGCACCCTGAGATGTAAGGTGACGAGTCTCATGTGCCTGTAATTTCACCAAAATTGTTTTAAATAAAATTGCATATTCTATGTTCTGATGAGATTGTCTATACGAATGATCTTCAATAAAATTCGTCAATGATATTTGAATACTAACCGTATACCTATGACCATATTAGTAATTATAGTGAAATTTCCTAAAATGTACCTAAATATAAAATAAGTGAACTATAAATAAATAAGGAAATAGTTTTCGTCCAAATTGTAAATTTAGTCCATTAGTAATGTCTGGCGTACAAAAACGTTTGGGAAAATTAGGGCCGGCGCCCACGACAAGACGGCACAGCATGAAAAGTTTAGGTAACGATTAGCAATATACCTTAATCTTACGACGTTGTAGTCAATTATTCAATCATAATGGTCGCAACTACAAAAAAAAAAAAGGTGCGGTAAGCTTAGGGATGCCGAGCCGGCAGTTTTCGGGATTCCAACAGGTTTCCGAAGGTTATTCACCTAAAATCTTCTTCTTGGAATAAAGTTCTCTTCTCCTTCAGCAAGACTACCATTTTAGTCCATTTTTAAATATACAACCGACAATAAAGCAGCCAATCGTAACATTGCAACGTTACGATTGATCTGAGGAGGTTAGGCGCGAGCATGATGTCGCGACGGTGTATGCTTCAGCATACCTAAGGATACCGCGGCATAATTACTGCCAGTGCAGTGTGCGCTTGCGCCTAGTAATGCCGAAGGACGCGTTGCCATGCCGCACACCAATGGGCGCCGGACCTTATGTAACAACATTTTGTACAATAAACTTTTTTTTCGTTAGAATTAAACATGCGTGAACGGCAAGTAACGGACTTGAAGCTGGAGCTAGAACGCCTAAACAACGAGTTACACTCGTTCAAAACGAAGTATTTCGATATGAAGCGGGCGCTTGATGCTGACGAAGCGAGACGATTGAAAGTGCCCACTCCTAAGACACCTGAGAAAACGCAGAGCGTTCACTGTAAATGCTGTAAATGTTGGTCGTCATGAAAGATCATCTTGGGGTGAAAATGGGGATATTTTTTAAAGAGAGCCAGAGCCATGGTAGACCGGAGATAGGAAAGAGAATTTATTGCATTTTTATTTTGCTGAACCTCCTACAAATATGTGAGGTTGATCTACATCCTCACCATGGAAGTTAGAATAGGTGTAACGGTTGTTTTATTAAACCAAAGAAGTTTGATTTACAAACTTAAGTGAGGCATAAACTATATTTTGGTCTCTGGGAAACAAGTACAAGGTTTATATATCTTTTTACAGTGCAATGTCCAACGCACAGAAGTATCTTCTTTTCGATACAAATACGACTGTGGTGGAATTTGTAGGTTTAAAGAATAGAGTGTGTTATAGTAGTTTTATGGTAAGTGGGCGAATGTAACCTAGATTTAATAATATACCCCAATAGCTTAATTTTAATGTGCCAATTTTACATAATATCGTCGCTCGGTCGTTCAAAAAGGAGGTGTTTGCTAAAGCATTATAGTGCTTGAAATTACGCAAATCAAACTATTGCAACTTAAAGCGTTTATTTATAATTAATGATCTCAAGTATTAAGTCGAAGTTACCATTGTTTTTATTCTACAACCACAGTTATTTTGTTATCCCTGTTAACACGTGATATGGGGTTGATATTGACAATAAATAAAACACCAAAATAATTAATCCGAAAACAATAGTTTTATTTAAGAACTTTTCACTTTCTCATAAAATATACACATTGTTTTTGTCATTAAACTAAACTGTAAGTAAATACTAATTTTAAATACCAATTCTCACGATTTCAAACAGGTGGTTGCACGAGGCAGCCTTCTATTGCTCACTTGGTGTTCATGTACAAATTCCTCACTTAAACTCTATTTAGAAAAAAAAATAATCAAATGAAAGCATGATTTTGTACATTTCAAAAGAAAAAAGAAAAAACGAAGATCTGTTTTTCTCGTTTTAATAAAGTGTGATGATAGAAGTCTACAGTCCTTTGATACTTAAAAAATAACAGTTCGAATGCATGTGGGAGGGACCGGGAGGGCGCCAAATGCGATCAAATGCTGCGAGCGGGCCTCGCCTCACACGCTTCAGCTACAAACGGTCCTCGACACGCCGTCATCGCCCCACAGTGCGCTACGTATGCATTCCGCACGTCTCTTGCACGCGCCTACAAGGGGCATATCTCTCGCAATACTTACTAAGGGACACCGTCCTTATAATATTCTAATCAATCTCTTCAATACACAATGTAATCTGTTCATACGTGTAAAGGTCGCGCGCCATACAAGTCCCGAGGGCCGTGTCACCGCCATCGTCACGCATTTACATAGCAGGCATATTTATATAGCTGTCCCAACTTACCGAATACAAACACAGAATCAACTATTCGCTCATTTATACACACAAGACGTTTGCATTGAGACGTTACGGTTATGTAAAAATCAATTTGTTTCGCTAAATTATTAACAACGTTTCGTTAACGTTGAAGGAAATATTTATTTTACTAACAACCACTAGCACGTTTCTTACTTAATGCACTTTAAAACATAATTATTTATCGTCCTTCTCTGTAACATCTGCTAGCTAATTCTAAGTAATCTTTATACATAGATCGAAAAAGCATAAAGCGTCCCTCTGCTATTTTCCAAGATAGTCGCCATACAAACAACTCTGAAACCCTCGTATTTCTGCTTCTCCAGTCTCCGCCATAGCCCGTTTGATTGAACATCTTAGTATAAAAAAAAACACATTACAAATCAGGCTATTTACAGCTACCTTACATGGTCTTGTAATTTTGCGTAATGTTCCCAATATTCAACTATTCCGCGATTATTTCACCATAATTCAATTACATAAACTATATTTTGTTTGTTATTTGAATCAATCTTTAAAACGCTAGTTGCGTTAAATCCCTAACTGCAGCAAATAAGTAGTGACGTCTCAATGCATGCCGTACGTGTCGTATCACGTATATCACTCGTCTGCTTACATAGGTAGGTACTTAGCAATATTTGCGATGGAACGATAAAACTATTGTTTGTCTGGCGAACGGTACTGCAACGTAGCGTGTGGCCTAGTGGACGTCCGAACTCTCCTGCTTAGTCAGCTGGTGATTAGCCGGGTCCGACGTGTTGATTGGCTGGACCAAAAGTTTTAATTTTAAATTAGATTTGATGGTAATGGTTCAAACATTATTATTTATAAAAGTTAAGGTATTCATAAAAGTGATTGAATGGCACGTACCAACGAGATGGGCGGCTGCGCAGGCGGCGGTTGCGGCTGCTGCGGCGGCGGGATGGCGGGCGCCTCGTGCACCGCCGTCGTGCTGTGCGCCGCCTGCGCGCCCGAACCTCCGCCGTAGTACCCGCCGTTCATACCTGACACGTAACTTTAATTACGGACACCACGTTGATAAGCGGTATCGCGCGAAAAGCAATCTTTATATCAAAGGCCCTTCTCCTGTCTAGCGACCCCAGCTGAGTATCATACATTAGTACGAAAACGGGGCCGGTGGGAGGTACAAGTTTGTTTAACAGGAAAATTTTAGAAGGGTGAAAATGTTAATAAGCACGTAACATGCAATAGATAAAAAGTTGAAACGTACGATTGTTAGTACCTTCGATGTAGGGGCTGGGCGGGGGCTCCAGCTTTGGCATGGGCTGCGTCGGCGGTGCCAGCACTGGCGCTGTGCTTGGAAGGAAGTAGTCCTGCAACCGTGTTAAGTTCATAAGCTACTATATCATAAAGCCTTAGATAATCAGGAGAAATAGTTTCATTTCCTCAAAAGTAGCGATTCAGCCAAAAGTATCGTCCTCACAAAGTGCTATTTCATCAGCGTTGTGATGGTATAACGGTAGCACTTCAAAATCTTTGTAATTAACAAAATTACAAAGATCCATTGTATCTATTCACTTTTCTCGTCTTACAAGAGCAGTAAAAAAGTAACAGGTATAAAAAAAATATAAAAAAACAAGGTTCGCCATACCTTATTGACGCAGTTGCGCAGGCAGTCAGGGATGCGACCGACGATGGCGCGACGAATCTCCGACGCGGCCATCTCGCGCAGCTCCTGCGCCGACGCGTCCGAGTAGAAAGCCGCGTGAGGAGTGCACAGGATGTTCGGCGCCTCTTTTAAAGGGCCCTGCAAATCCGCAAAGTAAGTCTAAGTTAAAAGAACCTTACGTTGTTAAGGTGCGTCGTAAACAATATGCACAACTTCGGATGAATATTTGTTGAATTAGTCGTGTACTACGTAAATCAAGTCACAGGGGACCGCCAGCTAAATAGCAAATAAAAGTATGATGAGGAATTCTACGTGGTGTGAGAAAACGGTCAGTATCATTAATTAGCTGATACCTTTTTGTTCCACCCAGTATATTCGTAGTTAGTACCTGGAACACGTTGAAGGGTTCGTTTTCGTGCACGTCGAGCGCGGCGGCGCGGATGCGGCCCTGCTTGAGTGCCGCCGCGAGCCCCTCGTCGTCCACTAGCCCTCCGCGCGCCGTGTTTACCAGAAACGCGCCTAATGCAATATAACAAAGCATTACAACAAAGTGACGACAATCAACAACCCATTATACGCCCTGCTATAGGGCACGGGTCCCTCTTAAGAGAGAGTATTGGGCCATAGTCTGTCACGCAGGCCCAATGCAGGTTAAGGATTTCATGCATTTTCCAAGGGTTGTGAACCTTCTTGATATCCAGATTTCATCACGTTTGCTTCACCATAAACAAGACGTGATGCTACTACTAACTTAGGAATTAAAATCATAGGATCATGTCGCCATAGGGCGCGTTCCATTATGTCGTAACGTTTTATTCATCGTTGAATGACTGTCGCGTCTAACCTGTTCCTATATCACGACTATCTATCGTGACTGTGTTGTTGACGTTTATTTTATCGTTGAACAACAGTCGTGTCTGTTCCCACTACATCGTGACGACAATTTATTGGTTCACGGCAGCCGCCTTGTCGTTTGAACGACAGAATCGTTTGAAGCTGCGATTATCTGTCATTACTTTTTTATCGTGACGTTTTATTTATCGTCGGCTGTCGTTCTAACTCTTCCTATTGTCACGACTTTCTGTCGTCGTAACGTGAAACAAGTTGTGGCCGACAGTAAATCGTGTTGTTCTATGGGTGAACAACTTCATTTAAATATACAAGCCAGGACGCTTTAAACTGTACGACTATCTGTCGTTACGACATAACGGGGACGCACCCATAGGTATTGGACCGGATTGGACTTAACTACAAGAGACTTATGGAAACTCTGTATAACTTTGCAAAATTATGAACACCTATGCTTGTTTTAGTTGCAGAAGTTCTTAGATCTTTTCTTTAGAACTAATACACTAGGACAATATTAGGTTTTAGCTTTTTATTGAACTCAATTTATCTTTTATCTTCTATAAATAGAATAGCTTATTAACAAGTCTTAAGAAATTCACTTATTATGAATATTTGTTTTCATCAAAATATATCAATAATTCAATTATAAACATAGCGTGACATACCCGGGCGCATCTGTTTGATAGTGAACTCGTTGATGAGGTGGTGATTGTGCTCGTTTAGGCTGCAGTGCAATGATACACAGTCACTCTGGAATAGGAGGTCCTGGAATATGCACAAAAACTGACATTAGTTACATGAATGAGTGAAAAATAGCAGAGTGGGGAGGAATTAATTATATTAAAAGTAATGAGGGGCCACGAAAAGCGGCGCAGAAGCGAGGGCGTGCTAACGCTAAATACTTAAACAAAATCAATCAATCCATTGATCACTACAGACTGCAACATCATTTACCCCCATTTGTATTATATATTACCCAGTTTACTATACTTCGTGTGTTCATAAGTTTAGAGACCATAAAAATTCACCGGTCAAATTCTGAATAATGATCGCGTGCCTTCCTTAACTTGACGCTGGCGGTATCATCGATTAATTTACATAAATATTCAGTCAAATTCTGAGTAAAAAACGTGTGCTTTCCTTCACTTGATGTTGGCGGAATCATCCATTATTTCGATGGGGCTAAAGCTTAGACTATGGAAACTAAAGGACCTGTTGTGTTGACATATATAAATCAGACGTTATATGTTTAAGGTGCATTTCGACGTTGAAAACATAAACATGTTATTGTCTTTGTTTAACTATCGCGTGCCGTCTTAAGCCGAAAGAGATAACATTACATTGGTCAGTGTCAAACACGGGAATCGAAAATACGTAACGTCATCTTAAATACCAACTGTGTCCATTTTGCAGTACATGAGATACGTATACGGTTGTCAAATGGAAGTACATCAAATGTCAAAACAAATGTTTTTCCAAGTGTTTTATTGAATTATTCGCAGGTATTGTAATAAAATAGACAAAAATATTGACAGTGAGAACAATTCAGTATTAATAAAAATTCGTCGCTGCAGCATTACGGGATGTGGCATTAGAAAAAGCGAAAATCGACCGAATGTAACATTATACAGGCACGTGTTATATTTCTGTACATAAATCACAGAAAATTTCAAATATCTCGTGTAATTAGACATATTTAAATAGTTTTTTCATAAATCTTGCCAAATTTTGCTTTGGTTTCTTCAGATTGCCTGTTTGTATATTTTGATGATTGTTGTTAACGATTATTTTGAGATAGTGTTGTTCTTGGAAGTGTACATATTATCGATATTCTGTTATTAAATAATTCACCACAAGGTTTTTATCATTTTATTATTATTATTTTTAATATTTCCAGTTTACCTACAAATCAAAAAAGTGCCGAATATAAACATTGAATCAAGGACCATCTTCATTTATTCGCTTCATTTTGAAGAGTCAAATTTTAACATAACTTGGAATGTAACTAGATTACATGATAATGCAATTCTATCATTAGGTTTATTGGTAAATAATTTTAAATTTAATTTAGATTAAACAAGACTCATTTACTAGGCATTCTCGGTTCTTGAAAACAAAATTATCCACTAGTTTCCGATTTTTTCCCACTGACATCACTAACTACTAAAATTCTTATTTTATAAAGCTAGCAATACAATGACCATGTTGGTCCACTGTTGCCGGGTGAAGGCCAATGCCAACGTATAGACAACCTATTTGCCTTGTCTTGCCTTGCCATCGTTCGGTGTCACTCGCATAGCTGACCGAGTGAAGGCGAGCGCTAACGTGTATAGAGCTCGTTTGACGTGGCTTGTCACAACTCGCAGTCGCTTGTGACTACTTGTCTCACTTCACTCTCTTCACTCTCACACGGAGAAGTGTCGATTTTTCTGCACAAATCAAAGGGTTCGGCCAATAGTAGTCAATTGACATTGTATAATCAGACATTTGCATGCTATTTAATATATGCGAAATATGTTTATACTAACACATCCAAACCCCAAGTTCAAAGCACTGTACCGGCAACACTTACTGTCACTTCAAAAATCTGTGTTGTTGCTTTGATCTATTCTTATTATGTGTATAATTACATTACACAACATTAAATCCTATTTACAGTCATAAATTACTCCTACAGCTGTAATTATATTCACATTTGCTCATGCACTTACATGTCAAACAGGTTATTTTAGATGCACTATTTACATTTTACTATGTATATTACTATTGTCCATGTATAACTTTACTATGTATATTACTATTCCCCATGTATAACTTTACTCATAGTCGTTATATTTTTGCTTTCAAATAATTTAATCCCTCTCGTTGGTTCTGACTGAAAACCAGCGCCTTAAGAAACTTTGGCATAATATGCTGAGTCAGCGCCGTTTCACTGCTATGACAATCGTGTTTTGTTTTTTGTTTTATGCTTAATCTGTATTTGTGTTATATCAGTGAATAAAGTGTTTATCTATCTATCTATCTATCTAACACTGTCTCTTGTTACATCTCCTGTTATACCGTGTTTTAAGAAAATAAACGTATGATAATAATTTTACTATTGATAATATTATTACTTTCATTTATTTCCAAACTTAAATGGAAGTATCAAAGATTCACTTAATACAGTCACTGATATTAATTCTATACCAATGCATAAATACAAAAAAGCTTACACTATTTGGAAACTGTTTCAAAATTCCTCTTTGAAAATATAAATCTTGAGGTTGGAAATGTATATCCAGATATATTTCAAAGTTTTCTCTCTTTTTATATACTCTCAAATTAGATTTTTTCTGTGTAAATTCATTTTTCGTAATATTTGAGTATTTGTAAACGCAAAACCATAAATTCTAAATGTAATGTGACATTCCCGGATATTCCCATATAACCTAAAATATTCCCAGATGGAAAGCATCTAAAAGAAACTTCGATTTTAAAAAATAATATTGATTCTCTTTTCAATTTTGAATTTGGAATGTTGTGATCCACTAGCAAGTTTTTAAATTTCATTTCTATTATTTTTCACGTGATGGTGGGAGCAAAGCAACGTTAATGTCATTTCCGATTTCCAAAGATTTACCGTGACATAAAATGTTTTGGGGTAAGCAGCACCTTTGCATATCACACCATAAAACATTACAAGGAGACTGATTTTCTGAAAAAAGGTAAGGGAGTGGTCACCCGAGGTTTGTAAGGACAACCTTGTCTACATCAAAATTATCAGAGAGCGACTTCGTCGAAATCCACGACTCACGCAGAAGAAACCCGCGTTGTAGACTAACATTTCGCGTGTTTCAGTTAGCAGAATACCGAATACCGCTCCATTTTTGCCAACAAAGCGGTAAGGTGAAAGTAAAAAAAAAATTATCAAAGCGACATTTTAGTGATTCAAGTGAGATATATATATATATCCCCAATACAAGCTTTTAGATGTAATGGCCAATCTGTGGGATTCGGTTCGCTTTCTTTGATCAGAGTCCGCTTTAGAATCCGATTCTAGCTCAAGGACTTTTGGCAGACTTTGAGCTAGAATTCAATCCACAGAGAATAGTCAAGTGGGTTGAGACCAAACCTGGAGGGTGGCCATTTTTCCACCGCGATGAAGCCAGCTAACTTTCTTAAAACAAGGTTGAGGCGTTTTTAGCTTTATGGGCCAGCACGGAGTCTTGCTGGAAATCCATTCTTTATTGAGAAATAAAGTATAATAGTATTATGTATATATATATATATATAATATTTTAAATGAATATATTTTATTATATATATATATATATATAAAGTTTTATAATATATTGAGTGATTTTATAATATATTATATATATACACTTCACTCAAGAATAGATGGCCAATAATCGCAGAAAAGGAAGAATTACCTGAAGCGTATAAACGCGCGTGAGCCCTAGCGACTTCTCGATGCCGTCGGGCAGGTAGGGGTCGTAGAAGATGACGTTGAAGCCGAAGGCCTTGGCCCTGAGCGCCACCGCTGACCCGATGCGGCCGAGCCCCACGATTCCCAGGGTATCGCCGCGGATCCGCGCACAACCCGCCGCGGCCTCGCGTACTTGCTCTGGCCCTGCCGCAACAAATCACAATCATGAACAAACTATCAGTATAGATGTTTTCTACTTGCAAAAATACCAGAGAATAAAGAATAAGAGAACGGACACTCTCCGCCCCTCCCTAGTTAGATACCGCACCACGTCCCGCACATTGCCGGACATTGACTGAACGACAACAAAGGTGCCGGCGAGCCGTTTTCGCGCGAAGACGGCTTTGATATTTGAATAAAATATAGTTTTCATTTATTCATTACGAAACTTGTACGTTAATATAAACCATCATTTTACGTTACTATTTATAATGGAGAATTGTGCGGTGTACAGCTGCTTATCGTCATTTTTCGAAAGATGAAACGAAGTAAAAAAACTTATGTGTGAGACTCATTCAGTTATTGTTTTCTTCATTCAGTTATTGTTTTCTTCATTCAGTTATTGTTTTCTTCATTTATTTACTGCAGAGAATATATAGGTATGAACTTAGAATAATAACGCGTAGAAACCTAGCCCGCACACGCTAAGTGAGGCAAATTGAAGCGCGCCAAAAGGGCCTACACGAGCGGGCGGGCCTTCAGTGCTCAAGGTCAACTTGCACCGCGAACAGCTTTATGAGCAGCAGAATTTTAGCTAAAAATGACGAAATGTGCGGTAAATGAGTGTAAAAATACGTCAGACAAACATAAAATAGATACTAACATCACATTCCACAAGGAAGTAACGCGTTTCAACTTGTATTTTTATATAAATATTCACTAAAACCGAAAATTAACCTACTACTAAAACTAACCTACATGAATTCGATTTTTGCCTCACTTGTGACAGTTCGTTTAAGGGTATGAATAAAAAATACAGATTTATTATATCAATATAATGAGACGCCGTGATTTCGCGAATTTTCTATTCGTATTGCCGATAAATATTACGTAGGTAGTGAATATATCTAATTATTAACTAAACTTGGACAAGCAATTTCAAATACCTTGGTTGCCTTACTTTTAAGTACATGTCCGAAATATAACATTTTCAATTTAAATGCTTTCAATATATTTTTGAAATAAATCTTCAATATTACTCTAGCTAGCGAATTAATGAAAAATTTAAATACCTAATAGACATGTATAATTATTAGGATTATATTAATAGAATCATAGATAACAGATTCGCGTTACAATTTTCGCTATGTTGCCGCTCTGACTACGTAACGTAATAGTGCGAGAAAGTGATGGGTAACCCTGCCAATTCACGCACACATTTGCGCGTGTGCAGATAGCGCCTTACTGTATATAGTAGTCGTAGGTAAATAATTTTCGACTGTTGTATGGAGTGTCCGTGGTATGGAATGGCATAAGTGGAGTTACGTCAAAAACGTTTATTGCTCCATTAAGTACAGACAAATATAACCCACATCCTCTCCAATTCTTGTAACTCTATCCACTAATATTGTAGCTAGAGTTACAAGAATTGGAGAGGATGTGGGTTCTATTTTTCTGTAAACATGAGCAATAAACATGTTTGACGTAACTCCACTTATGCCATTCTTCCATGAGGAGTGCGACATTTAATTTTCTCAATTCTTTTTATCCGACTTCAAAAAATGAAGAGGTTTTCAATTTCACTGTTTTTTTAATGTACATTACGCTATAACTCTTATTTGCGAACCGATTTTGATTATTCTTTTTTTTTGTTGGAAATAGGGTACAAGTAGTAGTCCCATTTAAATTTGAAGAAAATATTCCACCTCTAATGGTGGCAAAGTAGAGTATAAATCCGGTTTCGCGCACTCTCTGGCAACATATTTATTTATTTCAATAAAACTTGGCCAATGAGATGTAATTCCAGGACTTTTTGAGGTCGGTTTTTTATTTAAATAAACAATTGTAATTTAATTGTACAAACTTATACAATCTGGTCTTATTTGTTTTTAATTAAGAATATTTTATTTCTATAGTACAGTAGTGTAATTTTGTAGTGGTGTAGTTTAAGTAGTATAGGTATGTGTATACATATACTTTCATATACTTTATTATAATACCGTTTATGTTTTTTCGATGTAGATTAATAACAGCATTGACTCGAACCTTAATGGTTTTTAAATGTTGTAAAATTGTGATTGTAATATACCTAAGTAGTTGAATGGAATTAAATTAAAAAAAAAAAAAATCAGTACGATTGCCACTAGTTACACATTTCTTACCTAATGTATAGCTGATGTGATAAAGTACATAAAACCGTGTACTTACAGCCCAAGTCTACATACATAGTACTCTGTACTGAGATTATCATGGTTTTGATTTGTAACATCAAGTGATGACTTAGTAGTCACAATTTTTTTTTTAAATATGTATCTTTAATCACTGAAATATAACATGGACACCTGTGAAACATTATTAATAAACGATCGAAGATGAATTGAACGAATGAAACGAGACGTCTCAGTGTCATTCGAGAGTTAATTCAATACCATTTGTCTCTATCTTCAGATACATGCAAACATTACTTATTACCACAAGTAGCACTGTTAATAATGTACCTGTGAATTTCTTCCCTTCCCGGACCATGTTGGCGAGCCAGTAGGTCCGCCGGTAAAGATTGAGGATGAGACACAACGTCGTGTCCGCGACCTCTTCCACGCCGTAACCCGGCACGTTACATACTGCAATGCCTGAAATTATACACACGTTGGTAAACTGGTTTATTAAATTAAATCACATAAATTATTCCACGGGCATCCACTGTCCAAAAAAACGTGTTCGACATACTCGGCAGCCGAATTGTCGATTACAATAACAGAGAAAAACTTCGTTTATTAAACTTCGTTAAATTTAGTTCTGCGTTGTTATTTTAAACACTCATTGGAAGATTGGTCGTAATCGTACATAGGATTCAGGTGGTACGTTGCATGATAGGAGCCTCCCCGCACGACGTTCCATTCCTTTTCTGTAAGTCTGGCGGATCCTGGGCAACAATCGGCCGATTTGTCAATCGGCGTAAGGTTACGCGGCAAGGCAAATCCTTTTGCCACGATGGCAATCATTATAGTGTATGCCACCGATACGATAAGAAGAAGAACGTCAAGATGGAGAAAAAATAAGGCTACGGTTCCACCAGAGATTTGCTAGGTAGCTGGGCGGTACGAGGATATGTAGCGGTGTTGTGTAACGGTGTGTAACTGAACGGTGGGAGGATGAGTAGCGGACACTTTTCAGCTGAGCGCGGGTGGCGTGCGGTGTGGTGAGGTGAGCTGAGGCGTCGGTGAGCTCGCTCGCGCACCTCGCACATATTCCTCGCACACGTCTCTCGCTTTTTTGTACGTAGAAATACTTTAGTAGCAGTAGAGTTCCTTATGAAAGAGTTCGCCCAGGGAAGTACCGCCTATTTCTGTACCTGTAAGTACCTATTTCTGCCGCCAATCAGTAATGTGAGCATTACTGCGTTCTGGTTTCGAAGGGTAAGGGTGCTGGTGATATTACAGGCACACGGAACTTGTCAGCTTATGTCCCAGGGTGTCGGGCGCAGCGGCAGTGCCGCTCGGATCTTTATTATTTAAAGCTCTGAGTGGCATTGCAACTGGTAAGGGACAGGCGTGTCGCTTACCACCAGGCACGGGCGTTGTTCGTGTTGTCACTTAGTATTATTTAAAAAAACTTAGCTCCTATAGCCCTTTTCACCAGAGCTGTGCTAAGTGAAGCTAGGAAAATGAAATAATGCCATTGGTGGATTTTTGCCTCGCACACCACCTCCCATGTCTCTAGTGGAAATGCGGCCTAAAAATACGATGTTTGTTTACGTTGATATCAGCCAAAGACACAATTTTAAAATATCGTCGATTGAATTTATTACTGATTTCTCATCTCATAGACATGGCGAATGCAGTAATTCTGTCAAAAGGATTTTATGCATACGCAAATTATTATGTATAATTTTTTTATTTGAAGACTATACAATTGTCAATAAAAAATAATAATAAATTGGAATTATTTGACTAAGCTTTGGGCTGATTAAAACGTACTGGAATGAATTAGAACGCATGCATTGCGTCTTGTAATGAAAAATAAAGAAAAATACTTGACAGATTAAGAGGGACTATTTTAATTTCTATTAACTGTTCAATACTTGTAAACGGGATCAAGCTTGGTGTGCCAGACCACGTCCTAGAAGTTTTAACTCAAACCATGTTATAATAGATACTACAATGAAGCTCGGTCCTAAATGCATATTATTCATTAAATTTTGCGGATGTACGCAATTAATTACAGTATGTATTTGTCCACAGTGAACTTAAAGGCTTCAAACAAGGTCCCTCAACGCAAACAGTGGCGCTAGCGTTGACTTTTCATATCAATGCTTGTATTGCCAAGAGACAAGAACATGGCTGGTTGTAAAATGTAACTTGTTGGACTTAAGCTTACCTAATTCCCCGGCGGCTTTGACATCAATATTGTCGACGCCGGATCCAATACGGACTATGATCCTGAGCGCTTTGAACTTCTCCAGGTCCTCTTTCGTGAGTATGATAGTGTGCCACATGAGAGCGCCCACTGCTTCGTTCAGCACCTGGAAATATTACATTACAAACAATTTAGATTCAAAAACGGAAAAATATTCATATTATTAGTGTAAGTAAACAAATATACTTAAAATCTTGTTAAATTTTAAACGAACTCACTCCCATACATTTCTACTTAAGTTTTGTTTATAGTGACGCTTCCTACCAACTCTTAGGGTATACGAGGAAGCCACTATGACCTGCGCGAGCATCATATCTGGAAGAGCAGTTGTTGAGCCACCGTCATTTAACCGTCACTTTTTGCAAGCAGTAACAATTAGTATAGTAAAACGTACGCGCGCCACTGTAGCGCTTCCTTAAGAGTCTTAATTTGAAAGCGCCCATAGAGTTGTCCGATTTATAGGTATGACCTGTACTTTATTAATGATGAGTTCTAACAAGCTACTAATCCAGCTTATAGTTTGAAAATTATTAATATTAGAATAGAAAAATCATGAGTAATGTTAAACTGCCTCCGTGGCCGAACGGTTGCCACAGAGGTCTCGGGTTCCACTCCCGGTCTGGAATAAATATTTGTACGGCTTACATTTAATTTTTTTGGGGCTATGAATGTGTGCATTATTATTATTAATCAGTTTAACGAAAACAGCTAAAGAAAAACTAGCTGAATGATAAGTAACTAACCTTCTCATGAATTTCGGATGTTGACTGTGCGTCGCAAAAGGCGACTGTGGCGACGTCCTTCAGGATCGGCATCTCAACGGTGCAGTCCCGACCGTCTAATAACGCCACTAATGGCCTGAAACAATATCAACGAGCAAATTTCTAAATTGTGTCAGACAATCACGATTTTATGATCTGAGCGACCCCTGGAAGTAATTTCAACATGTACAGAGTAACAAAATTAAGTATAAGTTCGTTCCTTAGTTAGCTCTACGAGGAAGCGAACACGAATAGTTTTCGTAATGCCCAGAGTACTGACCCAAATCTAACAAGTATTTACACACTCCTATATATTGGTGCAATGTAATACTATCCACCTTTTTCCTCATGATGCAAATAAATTAAAAAACTAGAATATGTCAATTTTCCCTTAGAAGTTTTCCTGTATAAATAAAATACCTCATTAAATACGCATGTAGCGGTGTTCAAAAAACATTCATAGTCCAAATAAGTATTCTTAGAATGCTATTTAATAGCGACCGCATTACCTTTGTAGTCCACGTTACAATCAAGGAATCACCGGCTTAACAACATAACGAGCCAAAGAACAACGTGTTATTATATTTGATGCTCTGCTAAAAATAACTTGTACAAAAACTTGAGGGTTAGCGTTAATAGAAAATTATACGTAATGAGGTGTTTTTAAATAATTATCCTTTATAAAGAGGAATGCGTGGTTGTTATTTTTAATAATACATTCCGTATATATTGTTTTGTAACTTTATTTTTTAAATTTTATTATCTTTAAGGTCAATAACAGAGAGAGAAACAATAATAAAAGCAGATAAAAGAAATTATTTGGAATGCTTATAATATTTTTTTTTCTGATGTCACCGGTTAACAGACCAACCAGACGATCTCTTTCGGTTAGTTAGGATTGCCTTTTAGAAGGCCTGGGATTGTTGTGCCTCTTAATGTTAATTTAAATAATTAATTAATTGCATATTTTTATTGGTTATATAACATAAGTTGTGTAATAATTATTGACTTAGATAGATACTATTGTTCTAAAGTCTATAGGATAAGTTTCCATTGGTAACCATTTTTTATTGTTATACTTATTGTACATTCATTTAATTCGTCAAGACGTACGTACGTATGTACGTACAATCAAATATTTTATTGAATAAGAAATTAATAATGCACAATCATGTTTTATTCTAGGACTGGACGAGAAATCTTGTACGAGCATATCATCAACTTGTTTACTATTGTACTAAAAAATACGGAAGTTTTCAAATTCAATATTTCTATGTCAAGTATGTATAATATACTTGACATAGTATATACGTCAAGTCAATGTTCTTTTGGTTTCAAACCAATCAATAAAATTATAAGTCGAAAGACACCGGCGGTGTTAAACAAGAAACCCACTGCAGCAGTGAAGTCGGCACTGCAAACTTTTTAACTCTGTTAGAGGTTCGAACGTTGCTCCAGCTCAGATTGTATTTTTAATTTCAATGCGAATGTACGAGAAATTACTCATTATGTTTTTTTTTTGTACGAGTACATCCATCAAACTAAAACGTAACCCATTTTCAGTCACATTACGCTTATATTAACCCCTTCTATTTTCGCCCCTTCAGGTTTGAACAATTGAAGGAAATTTCAAAGTACAATGGAAACGGCAAGGTGCAAAAGTGCAGGATTAAGAACAGGTTTTACCTTCTTTTTTGAGGTGTTAAAGTTTGCATTGATACGTGCGGAAACATTAACCTTTGTGGTTGTCCGTTTGGGTGCACACAAATTAAAATCTTGCAAGGCATTCCAGTGAAAATGAGTTGTTCAAAATTGAAACTTTTTTGTAGTAGTGTACAAATTCATGAAGTGCATTTTAATACGTTTAAGGATTATTTTTTTATCTTTTAGATCTTGTATGATATGTTAAATAATTTTACTGAAAAAATATCATTACATATTAGCAATTATAGCTCCTTATGAAAGAGTTCGTCCTGGGCCTTGTCACCTTACCTATTTCTGCCGCCCGGCAGTAATGTGAGCATTATTGTGTTCCGGTTTGGGAGGGTATGTGACGGGCGCAGTGGCAGTGCCCCTAAAAATTTTGCGATTTAAAGTTTGAGTGGCACTGCAATTGTCATGGATAGGCGTGTCGCTTACCACCATGCGCACGACTTGATCGTCCCGTCACTTGGTATTTAAAAAAAAACAAATAAAAAAGCCCTATAATGTGAATTGTCGTCCGCGTTTCAGTACAATATGGGTTTAAAAATACCGTAAGTCCTAACAACATGTTTTCGTCCAAATCTCAAACATAAAAATGGTATTTGGTCCCCAATAAACAATAGCGTAGTCTCCGTGATAAACCAAGCTCGCTGTTATACACATTTATGTCAACATCAGCGAATGAGGTAAGGGTACGCATTGTTTTTCAGTGCCGGCGACCGAGTTTCCGAGCCAAGGTTGGTGATAAGCTCGGTTACTACGCGAATACATGTTGCTTTATACTTGTATATGTACAAATTCAATACGGAGTAATAACGGATTTACGTGCATACAATCTTCTTAAATGCATGTTCTTTAGATTTATGTACGCATTATCAATATATTACGAAATCACAGCCAAGATTTTACAGTTTGTAGATTATTCATAACCGAATGAGGCAATCAAAACACAATTGATAGTTAATCAGGCAGATGATTGTACCAATGTCGTAATTCTAACTGGGATGAAGCGCTCCAAATCGATATTCTCTATTAGCAAACAGACAAAAGGTCCCAAAATTGATGGGCAAAATTAATTTACAAAGCAAATACGCCCAACTTGTCGAAGACCGGCTAGCGAAGTAACCAAGTTAGCTAATCACGGGCTGAACTGAACAGAAGTGGGAGAGGACAACCACCCTCGAGTAATTAAAGCACGCCAGTACGATTAAACTAATAATTTAAACTTTCGTCATAGCGTAGCAGAATTATTATTATTGCCGGCGAAAGTTTCGGCAGCGAAACGAGAAAGTAATTCCGAGCTCCCACCCGAGTTTTCAGAATTCGCCAACTTTGGCGAGGCAGACGAAAACAGATTTGGCGGCAAACAAAGAGGGCGGTGGCACGGGGTGAGCGGAGGCCGGCGGCGGCGCGGGCGGCGAGGTCGACCGGGCACCAAGTTACCAACCCCTTCAGGCAAGTTTTGATGGAAACCAAATAGGATTAGCGCGAGAAAGAATAAGTTGAGTGAGCTCAATAAAAGGACTTTGTTAAGTTGCTGGCCGCGTGCCGCCCGGACTCGGCGTCGAATGCGAATTAGACTCTCTCGTCGATGTTACACGTGACATTCTGATCGTCATTTGCTTTTGTACGGACAACAGCACATCCGACTACACATTTTTTTCGAAAATCACCTCCAGTGCAACAGAACCAGATACGACAATATGTAGCTTGATGTGCTGTTGACTGTACATAGATGTAGTTTACTATATACACATAATAAACTAGTAGAGATCGCATTATTTAAGATATTTTTATAAATGGCTATTCTTAGTAACAATGTTATACTTGCTATTATGTTGTTTATGGAACTCGTGTAAGTGATAGTAATAAAAATACTCACCTGGATTGCAGGGGTCCATTGGCTATGGGACCCCGCATGCTATCAATACGCGCTCTCTTTGGCAGCATCTTGCGTTTATCCATTTAAAGCGGCAAAGCCGCTTTATCCACCTTACCGCAGCGCGTCACCTGAAACAACATAAAACACCAAATGAACCTATTATCCTTAAAAAGCATTCCCACAACAAATTTAGTTATTCAATATGTTGTCAATAACTACTGAATATATATTATATTAAGGGTTATTTACATTTTGGATAGTATTATATTCAACATAGATTTTTCATGTTTGGGTAATTTGTATTTTGAAACAATAAATCAATTACGGTAGGTATTACTTTTTATCACATAGTTGCGTTAACATGGTGGCCGCTCTATAGGAATCAATATTATCTAAAATCGTAACATTTGTTAAAGCAATATTTAATGATGAAAGGGCGTGAAGTGTAGGAATGTATCAATATGTTTTCATCTACGTTAACAGGGTGTTGTATGAGGCTATGAATAAAATACAAAGAATATGTCATTAATAATTCTTTTTCTACAACTGCTTATATTACTAATGAAGCGTATTCGCGGAATTCAAGTCCAATGGTGTGAGTCACAAAATAACTCAAACAATTAAGTAACATGCACCTAAATTTTGGACGTAACCTCGTTCAATAGAGCGTGCATTTTTCGCTTCTTAACAGATTTTTAATGGCCGCTACGGTTGGGATTCATGTTTCCAATTAGTATAAAATAACGTTAAATACAATTAGTCGTTAAAATCCAAAAACAAAGATATGTAAAAGCACAGAAAAGTTCGTAAGCCGGTGGTCCGTTCCGTAGCTCAGTTATGAGAGCGGTAGCCACGGTATGCTGAAAGCTCTGGTTCGAATCCAGCCGGATCGAAGGAATTTTTCTTTGTGTTCGAACTTTATATTAATAATTATACGGAACATCGTGATACTGAATAAACTTAATATTATTACAGTTAAATACAGGGTTTTTTTTAATCTCCGATTAATTACTTAACCTTACTTTATTAATTGTCTTTTAGAAATGTTTGTATAACGTATTATAACCGTAGAACATATTGATTTCTTGTTACAATTCTCGCAAATGGAGTTTATTCTTAACATAGGTACGGGCAAAAGAAACTCAACAGAGCAATAATATAAAAATAATGTATAACCGCTTTCCCTATCATAAATATGTATTCGCAACTGATACAGCTTTCGTGGCGTACTTATGATAAGTACTGAGTAAACACATATTAGGAAATAATTCAGGTACCTATATATTTTAGCAGCAGTAGAGTTTCTTATGAAAAAGTTCGTCGGTTTGTTTGAAAAAACAAATACACGCGATTTAAATCCGGAAAAATAGTTTTATTTCCTATGTGTAACAATCGCGAATAGTTTAATTATGTGTCATCAATCATTTGAAAAGTGATGTGTAGCAATGAGTGCAAGTGAATCGTTATCATTCATACAAAAAGCGCTCATTACACAAACGGACACCGTTAGGCGACAAAGTAGGAAAACATGTTGATAAGAATAGATATGTAATGGTCATAGGTAACATCGAAGTAGATATTTTGTATGGGATTTGAATTTGTCTTGGCAATATTGGTGGCGCTTGTAAGCCAGAGAAAACTTTTGTAAATATATCAATTTTTACATATGAACCATGGTAAAATTTTAGATGAAATCAGTAAATATGTCCCAGTCAAATATGCCATTAATTAAATGGCCCTATTGAGGCGAATGCCTAGGCAATAAGTCGGATGAATAAACCACATTGCTGTGTAGTATACACTATGTTCAAATCAAAATATCCCAAAAGCCGATAAGGGTTAACTTTGTCGACATCAAAAGCGTTGACAAACATTTACTCAATAACATTTAATGGTCTGAATTAACACAAAGATACGTACGTATGCTTGTTTATTTGTTATTATTCAAATCCCTTACAAATTAATCGAAAGTCCTATTCAGAAGAAAAGTAGCAAAGAAATGGCTACTCACAAGGTGTTTATACTCGATGTTGGCATACTGTGGACGTTCTTGTGCCGCATATTTTACCTAGAGCAAAAACAATAACTAGTTTAATTATATACTTGTTTATTTTTCACTATACGAAACCTTGACATAAATTTAATTAATGGGGTTCTAGTCACGTTTCGTAAATTAACATTTAATTATAGATTAGGACAGTCCAATTTTGCAAAAATCGCAATTGCAAATCATTAAATTTGGAAGATCAATATCGAACCAAGAGGCTATGTATTAGTCGTGAATGTTTCATGTATTTATGATGTGACGCAAGTCTCGAGCATTTATCAATGTCATCCCATAAAACATTAATTGGCAAGAACGAACCAAAAAGATGGCCTATATTTTTTCCTTTTTAATATATAATATACGCACGCTTGGCCACAATTCGGTCACATTGACAATGTGACCGACAATGGGACACATTTGCCTAAAAAAATGCCTATTCACTCTAGCCTTGAATAGCCCCAAATTGTAGTTTTCGGGAAATACAGATGCCAGTAGAGCATTCTATTCTCTTGCCGTACGCATCAGAAAGGAGGAAGCAAAGCGCTTAGTGCGAATAGGTGGAATATCAACGACATAAGAATGGAGTGCTCCGGACCTTCTAGTCGAACGAAGAAGAAACGGTGAGGGTGGAACTAAATTGAAAAGTTCCTGCGGACACTTCCCGAAATGTATGCGATAGAAAACAGACAAGCAGGCTACTTTTCTGCTATGGTCGAGATTTTGTAGATTTAACTCCACAAGAGAATTGTTGGCATACATTATTGGCCAATGCATCTAACTAGTAATGGGCAGAGCCGTCCCAAAGGTGGCAGCAGTACTCCATACACGATCTAACTTGAGCTTTATACAGATTTAAAAGCTGTTCAGGTGTGAAATTTCGCCTGACCTTGTAAAGCATGCCTAGTTTTCTGGCAGCAGTTTTTGCCAAGCACTCGATGTATGACCCAAAGTTGAGGTTGGATGATAAGTCCAGGCCAAGCAGCTCAAGGTGGTTCCTTATCGGCACGGATATATCTCGGACAGTCGGAGTAAGGTGTAGGGGACTCCGTTTTGATGTGAAAAGACACGCCTGTGTCTTAGCCGCATTAAACCCGACCCTCCAATCGGAAGCCGCTTTCAGGCTCAGATTCAACCGGGTGACCATCGCCTCCTGTTTCACCAGGTTTTTTCGCTGTTGTCTCGGGCGTTTGGCATATAACTCTCTACCACTGTTGTCGTCTGCATACCCAAAGATACCGGGTATCAGAAGCAAGTCGTTGATATGCAGCAAGAATAGAGTGGCGGAGAGTACAGATCCCTGAGGTAGGTACACCGGCATTTATACCATGAGGAGGAGACGAGTAACCATCTACAACTACACGGATTGTTCTATCCTTCAGAAAAACGCCTATCCATGTACAAAAGCCAACAGGAATACTACTGTAGCTACGGTAGCTTACGAGCTGGAAGCTTGTTTAACAGGCTATCATGCCAAACCCTATCAAAGGTGTTTGATATGTTGAGAGCCACGGCAAGCGATTAACCGCGTTTCTCGACTGCCCCATGTGTGGCATACGCAAGAAAATCCCCAGTAGATCGAGGACGGCGAAAACAATACTGTCGATCACAGAGAAGATAGATCACAGAGAAGAGATCTTCGAAGTATCCAAGGAGACAGCTGTTCAATATTACTATAAATCGTTAAAACAATCGTCTGAGCTTTACTAATGATTTCTAGTAATTGTTAATATACTAATCTTAAGAAGTTTAAAGAAGCAACGTTATTTCGAAAAGTATTTTTTCGAAACTTCTGTATACCGATATTTCTTAAATTACAAGGTCGAAACTCAGCATCTACACGTGTATTCCGATCATACAACAAAAGCATTAGATTAAAAAAACATAATAGCATTGAGGGTGTGCGTTTCTCCACGAGTTGGATGCGAAGGGGGCAAGGCCTTGCTACGGTCAAGGCTGCACTAAGGCATAATCCGACCTTGTTCAAGTTTAGGGCACTACTCGCTATCTACTACACTTATATACCAATTTCTATCCAGAATGTATACTTCATTAATGGCCCCTTATATGTATACTTGTATATTTCAAAATCAAGTTATCGAACATAATTATATATTTCTAATAGATCTGTTTACTGTCATACTTTTCTCTGTTGTTTATTTAATTTTTGTAATTTATTAGTTACAATCGACAAAGAAAGCTTAAATAAAAAAATACATTAATTGGCGATATCTCAGATATCGTGTATCTATACACAGAGCCTTATTGGTGGTACCTCATTTGTTACTTTTCTTGACAATGTCATTTTATTTCTGCGATAAATATAATGGAATAAAAAGAACTCTAAAAAACCTCTATTTTTCGCAAAGTACCTAACACACTGAAGAGATACCGGCGCGTGCTGCCGGCAACCGCAGAAAGACGAGCGTCAATTCCACGTAAATTATAATGAAATGTTGTCGATTCTGTGACTCCTAAATTTTTTGTGTATTTTTTACCGAAACCAAACAATGGTGATTTATATTAAGGCTAAGTTCTGTGCATAAATCACTATGGAGTAGGTAGAATTTCACGCTATTTCTACCGCAAATCAGCACTACATTTTGGAAATAGCGCAACCAAAAACAGAAGAGAATGAATATCTTGGGTCCGTTTCCAAAATATGGACACGTCTAAAGAACTGTAAATGAATCCATAGGCTGCGGTAACACTTTCCAAAAAGTGGACCGGTCCGCGGTACTGTTCTGAATCGACATCGACAAAATATTGCAGATCCTAATAAAATATCAAGAATTAAAAGAAACGACACTATTTTTATATCTGACAAATTAAAGTACGTCGTTAGACTATTCGGTGTCCATGTCTTTTGAATATCATAAAATTTAGAAGGTATAATCACGCGTATAAAAGTCCTTAAGCAAGTTTTGAAAACCCATATTATTTAAACCTACGCCAGTTCACGAGAGTAAAATTTTCAGTTGACAACAATCACTTTTAATGAAGGTGCGAAATAACGTACGGAACGAAGAAAACTCACACGTGTCTCGGTCTTCGACCTTCTGCCTCGTGGATGTGATCACACAATTTGAATAGAACGTTCTACAAGTATGTATTATGTATAGGTATGTCGGAAATATAAGGTACAAATTTATTGTTTATTTTTCCTTTTTAATATTCTGAGCAAAACAAATACAATTTCACGGAAAATAAATAAATATTGCCATAACAAAGACAATAAACAAAATTAATACAAATGGCGAGACTTATATGCATAGGTAACAGGTATACTCGCTTTTACAATCACTTATTGTGTTGCATTCGATATAATTTTTATAATACCAATAAAGAGCCTTGTGATAAATAATAAAATAAATTTACTCCTCAAAAATATCATCCACATTTCATTACTTTACTGGTGAAATTACAGGCACATCGGACTTGTCAGCTCGTTTCAGGGTGACGGGCGCAGTGGCAGTGCCCTTAAGATCTTTGCGATTTAAAGCGCTGTATGGCATTGCAACAGTTATGGATCGCCGTGTCGCTTACTACCAGGCGCACAACTTGTTCGTCCCGCCACTTGATATCATAAAAAATTTAAAAAAAAAAACAATAAAACCACGATAAAGCGGCGGGGACATCCATTTTACGTCTAAAGTCGTTCAACTTCTTTTGTTGCGATCTCAAGAAAACATTATGTGAAGAAATAGATAGAGCTACTATATAATTTATATTTAAACAAGTTCATTGTACCTATCAAAACATAAATAAAGAACTAAATCTATTCGGGTATAAAGTCATCAAATGACCTAGCACATAATTGAAATATCAAACGTTACTAAGACAGCACGTACGCATACTACATACTTACGTCATCACTTTCATTACTACTTGATTACTATCCTTATCGTAATGCACTCCACCCAGTGAATATTGCTTGCTTACAAGTGGTTATTACACCATATTTACTTTTTATAGATACAGTGATGATTGTGCACGCGTATTAGTCACATTGCGCACTAAATAAATGTTTAACGATCTGGGTTATCGCGTTCTTTAGGACTTGACCACGGATTGCAGCCATATTTTAGAAAACTAATTTACTGTGGTAATATTTCACACATTTCATTGTCCTACAAAAATTGGTCATCCCCGATGTGTTTATTACAAAAAAATATGACGGCCATACTCGGTATGCGATTAAAGGTAAAATTTAGCAGCAGTAGAGCTCCTTATGAAAGAGTTCGTCCAGGGAAGTACTACCACCGTATCTACTTCGTTCGCCAAGCAGTAATGTCAGCATTACTGTTTTCCGGCTTTGAAGGGTAAAGGTGATGGTGAAAGTACAGCCACAAGGAACTTGTCAACGTATGTCGCAGGGTGACGGGCGCAATGGCACTGCGCCTCAGATCTTTGCAATTTTAAGTTCTAAGTGGTACTGCAACTGTTAGGGACAGGCGTGTAGCTTACCATCAGGCGCACGACTTGTTCGTCCCTTATTCATATTATTAAAAAACAGTTCAAAATATCTTGTAGGCGTTCATAAACCAGTCCCCTGAGAAAAACAAGAAGTCCTAGGGGTTTCTCTTTGTGAATAGATGTTAGTTCCTATTTATCATCATCACAATAAACATTTAAAAATATCATAGGTAGAAGCAGCCTTAAAAAACTAAACGGATTACTTTCATAATTCCTTTTTTAATAATAGTTTTATGTATAAAGTTTTTATTTAATTCGCCTGAATACCAGAGAAGATTTTGTTACAAAAGCGTATACATTGATCCCTTAAGCGTATTAGTGACTTTGTGGAGATGATTGTTAATACCTAGTTTATTTAGTACTGTTTGAAAATTCTAATCTAGCATTTAATTATCACAGAATATTTTCAACAATGCGTTCATAATTCGCAGTCATAAGCTGAGGTTGTATTAAACTATTTTACTATTATTAAGACAAGATATGAATTAAATAAATAAATAACGCATACAGTCATAGTCCCGCACTCGGGACACCCTGTATCGCGGGTACTATGGACACACACATAAGACAACCATAAATCACACCCAAAATGACGAGAGAAATAAATGTAGGCCATACAAATATTTCCAGCACGGTAACTGTTCCGTAACGAAGACAAGAAAATGAGCCGATTTCGTGTCTTTTAACGTTACGGCTCTGTGTATGGCAACGATTACAAGGTTGCGATTTGAACGGATTTGCCTATCTACATAGTGCTTTATCCCGCAAATGAAACGAGGAGTAGGTACTTGACTACGCACATATTACTCCGCTAATAGTATCGGTAAGTAGGGCGACTCATGTCCGCCCTAGTTGGGGTTTTTCCATATTTAGACTGGCTAAGTTACTTTCCTGTGATTTTAGTGATGTTACTGACTCATTCAGTTTCAAAGGATTATGATTTTCACCATGTTATATATATATTTATATGTCAATGCACGATAGACAGCAAATCGTATTTTCGCAAAAGTGCTGATTTAAAATTCCAAACCTCATTGAGATACTTATCTAGTAGGCCCTTTTCTGTTCCAGTACAAGCGCTTGATGCCGAGGTCTTTCGTATAATAGCAAATAAGAACTTCTCGTAAAGACGGGACTGGCTGTTTTCGCAATGCTTCTATGATATTTAATATTTATGAAGTAATGTCATCAGTTGACAACAAGAGTATATCTATTATCATATCAATCATATAACAAAAAATGTATTTCTTAACAAAAGAAGTAATACGTTTGGCTTACCATTATGCGATCTAATTATTTGAATGTATAAAAACATAACGACGTTACCCAAGGCGTATCCAATATTAGTATTTAGAATTTACAATATCATACGCTGTGTTAAAAAAAATTGTTTTGCAATATTTACCTTAGAACGTTTGCTGCGTCACGGGTATCCGCGCGCGGGGAGTCTCACGGTAGACTGAATGTTAGCCATACCAAAGCAATGACTAGTTAAAGTTGATACCCGCGTGTGAGTGCACCGCGAGTAACGCTACACCCAGCTAATTTTATGAATCATAACCTCAAGAGAAAGGCTAGCGTGACAGATGCTATTATTATATAAACAAGTTACTAATTAGTACCTCAATACACGTTCACTATTTAAGAAAATTAAAGATTTAGGTTTGTTAACATTACATTTTTTTTAACCTTGATATTTTTTAAGTTGACGGAATTATCGCCTAGCGGCACTTATAATATGTAGTTGAAAGATATAAGTATACAGATTGTTGGTTTGTTTATTTAACCACATGTCGCACTTGGAAAGCCAATACTTTCAATAAACGAAAAACATATTTCAAGAAATAGCCAATTAAGTTTCTGAAAATAAGTTAATTTCAAAACGCGCCATTTTCGTAAAGTGACAGTATTGGTTACAACATGCGGTATTAGTATAAATAAAAAAGTTCGCGATTGTCTTTTGTTTCTTGTCTTTACACGATTACAAAACTAATTTCAACTTATTACAAAAACAGAATACTAGTTGAACGGTAGGTGAGTAGGTGATAACAGCTAAGCCAATACCGATTTCATGTAGTTTGAATATCCAACTGTGAGTTTCAACAAACTTCGCTCGATTGCGGCTCAATCCAACAGTTTGTTTGAATTGTAAGTACTAATTCCCTTAAGTTAAGGAAACTAACTGGTTAAATATTATATCGAGAATGAAGCGACGAAATATAATTCCCTTCGACATTCTAAATTGTAAACGACGGATAAGATTTGATGCTCCTGCAATTCACAGAGAAGCGCCTATAGTGATTATGTCTCAAGGTGACGTGGCAATTGCCCCTAAGATCTTTGGGATTTAAAGCTCTGAGTAGCACTGCAACTGTTATAAGCGCACGCCTTGTTCGTCCCGTCACTCAGTATTATAAAAAAAATTAAACGGATGCTTTACCTCCATAAAGGCATCCGTTATAGCTCATAAGAACGTACATCGTAAGCTATAGTTGTTTTTTAATCGTTAAGTTTTTCGGTTACTTTTTCACATTAATAACAGAAAATATTTCTATCAATCTGCACATTTCTCTACTTCGATTAAGGTAACCATTAAAAGGGCCAAAACAGTGGTATCTGATATGTATAATTGTTATGTTTTAACAGCTTTATAACTTACGACGAACTAGTTAGTTGTGATAATGTTTGGTTAGCATTATAAGATTGTCTGTTTAAAAAGAAACCTGTCTGCAAGGGACTAAACAAAATTTTCAAAGTCGGTACGCACCAGCGCTGCTGTAGTGACGAGGTCAGCCCGAGATCACCGCCCCATCGGCACAACGGCATTGACTTGACGGCGCCACTGCACCGTTCACTCACAGCACTTCACTTCACTACACTCACCGCAGTGCACTGCACTTATTTTGTCGACTATCTGATTATCTTTAGCACTGTACTTTAATCCTCGTTTGCTACTGGTCACCTGCAACAAAAAAAAACCATTGTTAGTTGGTTTGATTAATACTATTTAAAAAAAATCGTAATTGTAAGCGTAAGCTGTGGTAGCCTAGTTTGACCTACCGCCTCTCAAGCAGAGGTCGGGGACTTGAATTTGGGGTCGCACCTCCAAGTTCTTCGGAATTTATGTGCGAAATTTAACTTGGAATTTACGATGAGCTTTTCGATGAAGGAAAACATCGTGATGGAACCTGCATGTCGAGGACGGTTCTTAGCCCTCGGAAAACGTGGGAAGTCCCCAACCCGTATTGGGTCAGCGTGACGGACTATGGCCTAAAACCCTTGTCTGAAAGGGGACCCGTACCCAGCAGTGGGTTGTATATATGGGTCGATGATGACGATGACTTTTTATTTCACCTAAACCCTTCATTAATAAAAAAAAATACAATTAAACGTGATTTCAATTTCGATTTGCTTTGTTTTTGAAGTATAACAAAACAATGATAAATTCAGTGAAGCAGGAAGTATCAATAAAAAAGCAATTATAAAAAAAAGCAGAGTAATAATAAGACGGCGCACCGTGCCAGAATTCATTTAGAGTTTAAAATTCCCCGTGAAGCTTTCTCGTCACAAAGGGCCTTTGTCGGGAAAGTGAGTAGTAAGTGTGCCATGTCGTTTTATTCCAATTCTGTCGGACACATTTCAATCATGGCACGTGGAGCACTGACAACGGTCGATTTGAAAACTAGACCAGAAAGTACAGGTTTTGTGTAAATCACGTTCGGAGACTCGTTGACAATGTAGTTATGAAAGCGTCTTCTCACACGTTTATTAACAATTTTGTTATTATTAGCACAACGATTAGATTTCTGAAGACACTTAGAAAAAAATCCTTAAAATTCGAATGAACATTGTTTAGCAAACCACGGAACGAACCAGCGGACCTGTTGTATGTTTCTACGGCAAAAACGCCGTTAAAAAACCAAAACAAAGATCTGCAACAAGCACATAGAAAGATTCGTAAGGTCCAGTGGTTCGTTCCGTGGCTTAGATGGTATAGCGTCTGACGCGGTTTGCTAGAAGACGTTGGATTCGAATCCAGTCGGATCGAAGGAATTTTTTTCTAATTGTTCGATCTTTGTATTAATAATTATAACAAACTAGTGGAGAAATTTCACAAAAAAAATAATGGAATTTCATGGTAGTGAAACATCCTAACATTCAATAAACTTAATAACAATGTTGTTATTCAAATTAAATGGGGTGTTACGCCCTTTACTGTGTGCATAAAAACTATAATAATAAACTGATAAAAAACTTTCATCGTGGAATTTCTGCCCGTACGAGAGCAAACACTTAAGTTTTGCACTTACATTCTTGTAGGATCTTTACTCTTGCGTAACCCAAAAACGACCCAAACGTAACAGCGAGTAAGATTATTTTTATAGCGTCGGCGTAGCGAGTGTAATATTTTACGGTTCATAAAAGCGGGGACGGCAACGTTGTTGTTTTACTGCGCACGTTACCTGCATTGTTTCCGTACAAACTTACTCACAACATCCCCGAGTCTAACATAAAGCATTCACTGCGGAATTTGTTGTGAACAGTTTATTCGACAACTGTTCTGTAGGCTTTACACTAAGTTTAATTGAAAAAGGTAGCTACATCACTATTTCCACACGTATATAATGTTTTGCACCTGTGATGTCAACTGTACGAAAACTCGCGAGTTGCTAACCATGTATAAGAAAGCTACTGTTGTGATTGGGATAACAAGAAATCCTCAGGAAAACATATTTTATTTGTAATAAAAACAGTAACAGTAACATTTTTACGTCACAGCTACGTCACTATATGGTTATAGTATAATGTTATGTGTTGTTGATGAAAACGTATGAAAATGTAGAGACATATATATATATATATATAAAATAAACTTTTTATAATATAAGTTTATCCAATACTTTGCTGCACTGTACTAGCAATTATTGTGACCTATATAATAAAAATAAACACCATTACGTTCAATGAGAATAATCTATGATGTAAACAATTACCTGACTACGCTGACACTGTTTCTTGGAACATGTCGTCTGTTTATTAATCAATACGTGTCAATTAAAACACATTCTTTAAATAAAAGGTGTAATTTGCTTAATCAAACTAGCAGGAATTTGCGACGACTGTGGGAATTACAATAGTAGGTAAGTAAGGAATAACACATATAACGCACTTATAGCATTACCAGTAGACAGTTGAGGCGAGGGAACAAAGGGGCGCTTGGGGGCTGCACAAGTTTTAATTGAAAGGACCATTGATCGCGTCCGGCCAACACTGAGTCGCACGCCACCGCCAAAGTGCCTGAATTTACTCGCCTTTTATTTGGAGTAACTAAGTGCCTCTGTGCAGGAATGTGTGTTAATAAGGACAGAGAGAATATTAAGCATTTTAGACCATGGGTTGATATCGATTATGAAGAGGTAGCATTTTTTTACATTAAGGTTACGTACAATTTGATGATTTATACAAACTACCACTTTCTTGCATTACAATTATTTGCATTTACACACATTGTGTTATTGTAGATCACATTATGCGGTTGTTGGTTGGTTTGGTTGGTTTTCCATTAAGACTTATTGCTAGTTCAGTTTTAAAAACGTATGATAAGCAGAAGTCAATATTTTTTGTTCTAGAATCGACTGTCAGAAATATTAGTAGGGTAGCACGACAGGGCGCGACTTGTACGAGAGCGACATAAAACGCAAGATTGCTAAGGGAGAATAGCAGTAACTCGCGCTTTGTCGCTCTCGAGCAAGTCGCGCCCTGTCATGCTAGCCCTACAGTTTGCGGGTTAAATGAATTGTATTTATTTATCAAAATTCTTGTATTTTTATTAGTATTGTTGCTGATACTTGTACATGTATGAAATATAAATAAGAGCAAATTATTCTCGATAATAACAAAGAGCTTTATTTATCTACATTAAGGTAACAGTTTATTCGTAAATACCAACGTCTGCAGTTACTCATATTATGTAGATTAAAAGGTAACAGTCTCAGCTTGTTACACGTTATTTGTATAAAATAAAATTCGTGGTTTACCAATTCTACGTAAAATGTTACGTAATTTTACAGTTCTATTTTATTGCAATTAAAAAGAATTGCACAAGAAAGCAAAAAAAGAATTTAAAAAATGTGTAAATTAAACATTATAAACATGTATACAACGGCTTTTAAAACTGTCAATACGGATGACAATTCATTTGAATTCACTAACACACTTTTCACATCAATAAACGGTTATAATTATTATTATAACCATTTTTATTATTATTATTATTATTATTATTATTATAGAAAGTGCTAGTGGCCGGGTCATAAAGATAACAACCAACGATTGTTGCTTGTACCACAAACGCAATTCAACGCGAACGATAATGAAACTTCAATTTTATAACAATTAAAGCATAATTATTTCCGATAATGAGGTATAGCACGTCTTATCATTTGTGGCTTGATTGCTCCATGTGAAAATGACATTTGGCATCGTTCTACATTGAAGTCCCGTTAAATCGCACCCCTCATGGAAGAGTGGCATAAGTGGAATTACGTCAAAAACGTTTACTGTTCCATTAAATACAGAAAAATGTTAATAAATTCGCTTAAAGTGATAATTGCACCCAGTTCGTGAAACTAAACCGCAAGCTTCGACAAAGTAAATCGTTCCCAAATCTTAAATAATCATTTTCTGCGCCTTTCATTATCTAGCTCTTAACATTTCCCAATTAAGGTTACACAGATCCCACTAAATCGCAACCCGCACGTTTCGCTATCACTTTAATTACCGGCTTATCTGAATCGCGCTGCCGATCGAGCTCAACAGCCGGTTATTTCTGATTATTTCTAGTTATTACTCGTTGTTACCAAGTGTTTGAACTATCGATTGCTAGGCCCTTGCGCCAAACGATCGCCATTTAGCTAACTTATTATTACTACATCACGAGTGGCAATATTTGATAGAAGATTATAAAAAGTTACCAAAAAAATACGCGTAATGTAAAAACACAAAAGTATTTTAAAACTAGAATGCACTTTATTGTTTGTCATTAATGCAAACCACATATGAATTAATGTTTATTGGGCACATGCACTGAATATACCATTCCATTATCCTGTCCCAGATAACAGTAACGCAAAACCATTTTCCTGTTACTATGCCGTATTCTCTGTATTCATGAACGACATGACTGACTCATATGTATAGAAATTAAATAACCTAACCTCCGGTTAAAAAAACCGACCTCAAAAGTCATTCATCCCCTAGTTTACCACCATTAGAGGTGGAATATTTCGTTTAAATTTAAATAGGACCACTTCTGAGGTACCCTCTTTCCAACAAAAAAGAATCATCAAAATCGGTTCATAAATGGCGGAGTTATCGCGTAACATACAAAAAAAATACAGACGAATTGAGAACCTCCTCCTTTTTTGATGTCGGTTAACAAAATAACAACAGCCTATCCTACCTACATCTGTATAGTGGTTTAAACTTCAATGTATCTCCAAAAAGCCTACGCATTCCATACGTCCAATTACTACACCTCACCGACTGTATAGTCATACAGGGATAGTTGCCATCGAATCGTGAAACACTGGCCATTTCGGCTCGGTGCTTTGCAGTTAGACAATACCCAATCTCGTATGTCATCGGGGAAAGCGACCACGTGTAAAGGATTACACATACGAAAAGAAGTAGTATGCGCATTGAATTAATTTGTATAATGTATGTAACACCCGACAGATATCCGACAATTCACTTCCATAACAGCGAACGAAATTAGATTCTAATTACGGAGATCGCCGCCGACGTGTCATTACAAACATGGTAATTCAGCTAAGCCTGATTGACTGAGCCAGGGGACATCGATAAGCCTGGATAAATTACATGGGCGACTTGACGGATTGGTAGGAGATAGTGTGTGATTCAAAATGGAGACATACCTTGTATACTCTCACTAGATCGTAC